CTCTACAACTGGACACTCCTTTCCTTTCTTTCTCTCTTTTTGTGTCTGCATGATTGTTTTACAAGTACAATATTATTAGAATGAAATGTAGTAGAAATAAATCAATGCAAGCATATTAAAATGTAAATACTTAATTATAAGAGGAAAAAGAGAGAAATAAATGAATACCTGGATTGTAAAATATTATAACTATTTTGAAGCCTTGTAAAGCTCTTATAAAGTATAATAATATCTAACAATATACAAAGTACTTTTAAAGCTTTACATTAGATTGTATATATTATAAAACTATATTACTCTTGTTAAAATACAAAGTTCTTTTAATATCTTTTCATTTTAGGAGGTTGGATATAAGTTCATTTACATATTGTCAATACTTATAAACCTTATTCATATTAACAATTTGTACATACCTTTTTGTATCTTATATAGCTTTTTATAATTTTCTCATTTTAAGAGGTTGGATATATGGTCTTTTATATTTTTTAGAAAATTTATATAATTTATATGTTTATAAGCTAATATAAGCCTTAAGACTTTTTCCTGATGCCTGTAGCACTGCACGTTAATACAAGGTCTCTGGTACCAGAAACAGAAAGAACAGTAATGGTGTTCACAGGGTGGGGACAACACAACATATGCTGCAGAAATGAGAAGCCGGTATAGCAATACAACATTGATAGAAAAAGTTTACAAAAGGAATTCCCACTAGCCGACTTGAACGACTGACCTCATCATAGCACACAATAGACCGGAGTGTATACTAGTGATGCGCTCTACCACTGAGCTAAGCGGGATGTGTAAGCATGTGCTTGCATGGTAATGGGCAATCAAGTGAATCAACCCTTATAAGTAGATGATCAACGCGTCGACTTGCATTTTGTTGTTCTTGTAGGCCTCAACGACAACGATGACTACAGCACTCTTGCAGTCATCTCGCTCAAATGCGCATTCGTTTAATGCTCACGCTTCAGTACTTTCGCAAGACAGAACTCAAACACCCGTCCTAGACGCGACGTCGTCTTCCTTTTACTCGTTTCAGAGCACTACTCAATCGGCAACTCAACCTCGACTCCTTTACCGTGGTTCTCTTTCCCTACCGCACTCTCACCTTCTTCTCGATGGACTTACTTTTACCATCGCTTTGCCTTCTGATGATCCGAGCTCGAGTCGTACGCTTCTTGAGACGCCGCTTCCTCTGGCACTTGAGAGTATGCGAGGCCGACCTAGTCTGCGCTTCAGTGGGGTTGTGAAGATGGAAGACATTTGTTGGGAGGATGGAGAACGTGTCAATCTGTGAGTTGTTCCCTTTCGTCGCGAAAGAGTCTTATGCCTAATGGTGGATGTCCTGAAGCCACGTTCATCCGCGGTGCATCCTCACGCGTCAGTTATTCGAACAAACGCTATGTTCTACTCCCGTCTCTTCTACAAAGGGTCACACAGACTCAGGGATACGAATTTCTCTCGGAGACACGTCCAACGCAAATGCAAACAACGATATCGCCGTATTCGGATGTCCACATCCATCGTCCTCCATCATGCAACTTTGTGTCGCACGTATCCTCCCCACACTACCGAAACCCACGCTTCTCGGTCGACTACCCAGTGACAAACTGCAACAAATGAGGCCTCCACGTCCAGATGACCCAACTCCCCGTAAACCACCTGCGGGATTTGCTGGCATAGCACGTGTTGGACTTGGCATGAAAAGGACCGCGAGTATGAAGTTCAAAGACATAGAAAAGGAGAAAGGCGACAATAATGGAACTGAGGTTGACTCAAATAATCGTATGACAAAGGACAAGGAATCGACAGGCTCGAAAGAGGGTACTTTCAAGATCCCGGCTTTACCACCTGGGAAAGCTCGGCAGGTAATCGACGTAGACATATTTGACGCTCCAATGGACGTCGAGGAAGTACCAAAACGCGCTTCAGATCTAGAGACTCGAAACAAAACAGTACGTCTTGTTTCAAGTTTTATACACAGTTGACTTCATGTCGTCTGTTAGTTCATCAAGAAAGCTACCGTCCGCCTCATGTCCGCTGCAGGTATCAGCAAAATAAATCCATCATTCAAAGATTTCTTCAACCAGGTGTACCACGGCACTTCGTTCGCACTGGTGCGTGCCTTTCCATTCCTTTCTCTCGACCAGGGATAATTTAGCACTAACGTCAATTGTAGCGATCGAAACTGAGTGTGTCGAACTTCGACAGTGATTCGAAAGAAGCAGAGCTCGTCGATCGGGTCGTCCAAGCGCATATTACACTGTACTTGGGAGGGTTAGGTGTTGGCGTCTTACTCTTGCAACAGCAATAACTTTGCAGGCTCCATATTTAATCAGCAGTGTATATATGTACAAATGTGAGTATTACTTCTTGAAAGTCGGTATTTGTAGCTAATTGTACCATTAGTTCATTCATGTATTTTTACGCATAGAACACTCCTGTGGTAATCGAAAATATGTTAAACGTTTTCTTTCAATTTCTAAGCCAGGGTTCCAAAGTTGCAAGTTCCAAACTCACTGAACATACTCTAGCTGCGAAACGGCTACATCCACTTCTTTGCACATCTTCTCGTACAGACAACTTAGAGAACCATCGCTGCAGTACCACCTGGGGCAAAACAGCTACAGCTGTTGCTTGCTAGAAGATACTGTAGAAAGCAATAAGTCAGATTGCGAAAGAAAGTAACATCATTATGATAATGAGACTTAATTGTTACTGGAGCGACTTGATCATCGAGAACGTGGCAGCGTAAGTGTATGACTTCGGAAGACATCGGGAAAAAGTCTAAATTCTTGTACTACCGTATAATGGTATAAAATAAGTGAAAAAAGTAAAAAAAGTAAAAACACTTGGAACGGATCTCGGTTTCTGAGAAAGTACTACAATTCATTATAAAGTCTGAAAGGTTTGTGTAATTTGTAAACATAAATAAGAGTTATTCTCCTTGGCAATATATAAAATGTATTACAATGGATCTCTAAAATTACAAGGTTAAATCACTCTTGTTAATTATGGCAAATATTATAATTGTTTATAAAGCTCTTAAATCATTTTAATATCTTAATAATAGTTATTTTTCCTTATATCTGTTTGTTATTGAAATAACAGTTTATAATTATGTTGAAACATTATATAAATACATTATAATCTACAACAATTAGGGGTGAGACAGGTTGTGAGATTGATTGGCTAAGAGTGTGGGCGTGAGTGTTGTCAGCGTGAGTAGGTAACTGGATTGAGGAGATGGATGCACTGCGATGGCGTGTAGCGAGTGTGAGTAGTGCACTGGGGTTGAGATCCGGAGCGTTGCCAAAGAGGTGTAGTGAACTCATCACCAAAACG